GCGATCCTGTTACCCTTTGGCTCCGGATGAAAGGTACGCTGAGTCCCGCAAGTTGATTGAAAAGAAATTGGGGAACGAATATCGAGTTGCGTCGGCCTACGAGTCCAAGGGCAGCCGATAATTAGTCTAAGGTCGACCAATCAGGCAATATTCAGAAGCTGATCAAGCTTCCCTACAGTATGAGATAAAGATGGCGTCGTGTGGTCGACGACGTCAACAAGCTGTAAGGGATGCCTCCAAAATTCGATGAGTGTGTCTCATTTATCGACCAGGAAGGGCAGGATAGTCTCTAATCCAGTGTTTGGAAAAATCGCAGAGAGCTCAGATAGTTGAAATCCGGTTTGGCAAGGGAGCACAGACATCGGTCCTTAGCCAAGGAAGCTAAGTCTCACCACTTAAGTGATTGGTGACCATGGTCTCGACGCAGAAGAGGATAAGAGCATTAACACTGACACTTCTAAAGAAATTAACGCTTTCTGTTTCACCTATCAGCAGCTCGTGCGTCTTATGCAGCTTCAGCCATGTACTCGAGGACTGAAGATGGTTAAGAAGCCGCTCTTACCAGGAACACATTAAGTTTTTAGCATCAAAAAGTCTCTGTTTTGGATGTTTTTTTTTTTCGATAACCACGCGGCAAAGAACTGCCTTCAACAAGACTGCACTCGTGTGAGTTTATACCAATTGTCCAAATTCCCACTGTGCTTCACACTCGCTCTCGTGAAAGGGTGAATGGTCAAACCAGCAGAGAGGAGCGAAAAGGTGTTGGCAGCAGTGCAACCAAAGTACGCAATGGCATGGTCAGCACTGGTAACTCGTCATGTAGCTTAACTGGGACCGGATTTCTAGGAAAGGCCTGGCGCTCCTGCCAATGAAAGTTAAAAGCAAAGTTAGTGATACCGCAATTAGGACGTACGCCGTCTTGGACAGCGGCGCGCAGTAGTTTTACACTCTGCAAGGAATCACTAATGAAGCAACTTGGCAATGACGGTTTTAAGACCCAACTCTCCTTTACCACACCAGAAAAGCAGACTTGTTGACAGCTTTCTTGTCCGAGACCTCTGGGCTATCAATCCTCTACTCCAGAACCGTCACAAAAGACGATATTTCATCTCAAGAAGATGTTGATGAGTGGCTTCACCAGAGCAGTGTTTACCTGCCTGGCGTTACTGCAGAGATCGACTTGTTAATTGTAAATGATGTCAGAGGGGTCCTCGAGCCACTGGAGGTCAAGAATAGTTAAGATTAAGGTCTCTATACCACAAGAATCCGCAACGGCTGGGCAGTAAATGGGAACGTGTTGCAGTAATGGCAGGCGCTGAAGCAATACCGCATCAGGTTACATCAGCAGACTTTGAGTGCTCCTCTCTTCACTTCCTGTGTTCGCCGGATGAAAGTTTATTGCATAAGAAGAATACCTTATGACTGTCCACCTGTTTGGCACTGCGCCCTCCCCAGCCTGTTCAAATTTTGCCCTCCGTAGAACAGCCGAGGATAGAACCAAGGGTGTCTGTGCTGATGTCTTAAATACGGTCATACGGAAAATTTGCGTAGACGACTGTCTAAAGCCGGTCTCTGCCTTCAGTCAAGGATGCGGTTTTTCAAGTCGGCAAGTTCTGCAGCCTACTACAGCAAAATGGTTCTCGATTAACAAAATTGGTCAGCAACAGCCCTGAAGTTTTAGAAAGTATTCCCACGTCAGAGCGCGCACAAGAAGTCAAGAACCTAAGCCTCCAGAAGGATGAATTGCCAATCGAACGGGCACTTGGCTTTCAGTGGAGTGAAGAGTCCGACAGATTTGGTTTTAATACTAACGTCAAATCCAGACCACCTACCTGGTGGGGCATCTAGTCCGTTGTTGGGAATAGCCTTCGACCCCTTTGACTTCGAAGTACCCCTTGCTCTGAAGGTCAAGAAAATTATCCAGGTCCTATGTCGAATATAGGTGAGTCAGGACCAAGAAATACCGACAGAGTGTGTTGGCAGAGGCTTCCTTAAGTTGTCACAGTTTACTATTGATCGCTACTTCAAACCAGTCAACTTTGGCAACATAGTGTCCAGTCAGCCGCATCACTTTCTAGACACCTCTAGAATTGGTTTTTGGATCGGTCCCATATCTGTGCTTGTCTGACGGTACCGATGGAATTTGCTACACAGTCCTCCAAGACAAGTCACGCCTCTCCAATGAGTCAAAGTCCATCGTTTAGACCTTTCAGCCACAACAATAACAGACTAGTTGGATAGCCATCTGAAGAGAGGGCTGGAGCTGCTTCTAACCGCGAAGACTGTTTTCTGGACGGACAGCACATCAGTGTTGCGCTACGTCAGGAACCAAACCAAGCGATTCCACACGTTTGTTGTTAATTGTATCGAAATCATACGGGACGATTCGAAACCAGACCAGTTGAGGCATGTGAGGGAAGGCCTGAATATAGGTGACGATTTTTCAAGAGGGTTATCGGCAGAATCTTTTCTTAGTTCTGAGCCCTGTGTACCAGGGGGCAGCGTTTCTCTGGAAGCAGACAGAGCTGGGGTCACATGTTTCTTTGTCAGTGGGCAGTATTTCAGATGCAGATTTACAGTGAGGGTGTCTACGTGACGTCAGGGGTTGTGCCCTTTTTTTCTTTGGTAGAATACTTTCGAAGATGGTCTTCCTTGCAACGTCCCGATCTCAAAAGGTATCTGGCAGATATCTACGGGAAAAGACGTTCCAAAGATTACATCCCGTTACTTAAAAAAGACAGACGTGCCTACGACCACGTAGAAATTTAGCTGTGGATACGTCGTGTTGGTTTCTGTTGAGAATTCTCATCTTAATTCGTGGTACCTTTGAAAAATCGCCGAAGTTCTTGCTAAAACCCCAAAAGCATATTTTTGGGGAAATGATGACGTCACACGGAGACCAGCAATCCCTCAGTCGAACACTGTAAATTTACCCCCGATTCCTCGAACTAATTTTCAAACCAATTTTGGTTTTCCTTGTAGGTTCGAAATATCGGGATTGCAATGTAGTTGTATTTCTAAAACGTCAGACAAGTATGCAAAACGTGTTTACTTCAATGTCACATTTAACTCAAAGAAATGATCACATTAAGCCTAAATTACAAACTGTGTGAATATAAAATCAAGGCAAATTTCCTTCTTTCTGTACTGGCCTGTTAAAAATGCTCAATTTTGCATGCATCTCATCCGCCATCTTAGTTGATCAAGCGGTATTTCGAACTTTCCTAGTTGTCACCAAAATGTGAACTTAAAGCATATTTGTGAAAATAGTTCACTAAAAGGGTCTTTTGACGCAATAAAAGAAATCATGTAGTCAAGTTCTCCATATTTACAGGCAGTGGCTCTTAAATGGTTGTCCCGTAGGTCAAACGATGAATTATGCTAAATGAACAGTTATTGTACTACAAGAAGTATATTTTTTCAATTTGTCGAAGCTCTGGAGTAATAATTATAACTTAACGTTTCAATAGCAAAACTTAATGAGTGATGTTTCTGTTACTTTATGGCCGCCATGTTAGTGCCCCTCATGGTGGCACCAACATGGCATCTCCGCAAATTTGGCTGAAACATTTATGAAATGAATGAAAACCACAGAGACCTAAATCTTGGCAACGTTGTCTATATATCAATCATTTGTAATATGCCATATTTTTGACTTTATTCAATAAATGCTAAAGATTTTTATTTTTATGAAAACCAGCAATGTTTTGTATCTTTTAAAGGAAACTGTTTGGCACCGTAATCTGCTGAATCTTTGATTTTCAACTTAACGTCATTAGGGATCAGAGACGCAATATTTTGCCACCTTATAAGAAATGTCATTATTTCAGGTAAACCTGGGCCAGTTGTACAATATGAGGCGTGGCCACTCAGGGTCGACATGATGCTGATCAATGGGTGACCAGTTTCTCATTGGCTTACACCGCAGACGACTTCAACTGGGTTTACATCCGGGAAAACAGTCAAGTCAAAGTAAGTTAAAAACAAGAGTCCTGGAGATGACATTGCTACGGTAGAAGCAGTATCCATTTTTATTGCACAAAGTTTACTGTGGAATGGTGCCTCAACCAACAGAGTTACCCGGCTAACCGAGTCAACTTTTCATGAGTTTCTTTATAAAACGCATTAAGGCGTTGAAATATTAGATAAGGTAACCCGCTTTCCCGGAGCACCCTGTCTACTTTCCCGAGGCACCCTTCTAGGTGTTCTTTTGTCATGTAAAAGCCTCGACCCACCTGGGTTTCCCGGCAAGCCTTGGTGAAAAGACCGTGAAAGCAGGGCTATAATCCAAGGCAGCTTTCCACGTTACTACCTCTACTGACTACGCTCGCTCAATTAATAGAGTGCAAAATAATAGCACTACTCACTTAAAGGCAGCCACTAGAGGAACGAGTGATAAAATATTAACCTTGCCGCCAAAACATTTCTTTTTTGCGCCATCTTGTTGCTCTGCTTGGCGACCGTCTTAAAAGATACCCACTGTTTATCCTGCTTAGGTGAGTTGTACATAAAGGCGAGCTATGTTTCAAATCTCCTAGCCGTGTAGCCCCGTTAGCCGGGGCACTCTGCCTCCATGTACGGGGACTAAATCTATTTAACAAGCTTACTTGGAAGCCAACTGTTTTGAAACGCGCTTAAAAGAACACACAAAGCCCGGGATTTTGAGGATTTAGTATTATGGTAGTTTTAATACGGATTGAAAAAAGATCAGTACAGTTAATTAATATCAAAACCCAGCAGGCACTGATCCATAGACTGACTGGTAGACTGAGTGACTAATCAATCGCTTAACTGATTTATTGATTGACTGACAGCTAGGTGGATTCCTTAATCTTGTGATTGATTGACTGACACATTCTATCTGCAGACGTTTCTCGGCAATACCGACAGATCTACGGTTACAAAGCATTTCTTCAGTCCAGACACCCAGGTTTTGGCCAGAAGTGTTCGGTTCCATCCTAAAGCTTGGGCTGGTCACATCTCGATGCGAGTGGAGATTTATGGTTGCCAAGAAGGTAAAACGATTGACTTCTTTTTCTTTGTTTTCCCAAACCTTTTAAAAGAACACAAGAGTTGAATTTGCGTCATTGTTTAAATCAGCTCTTTCTTAAGCCCCTGCCAAACGATTGCAACATTGTTGGGCGCAACACGGTGCGCGCATTTGGCCACCCTGTTGCAACGTCTTGGGCCGGGTGTTGTTGGCTTCAGTTTGAAAACGGTCCAATTTGAGCAAACAACAACCAAAATGACACCACACGTCGGAACAGGGTAGCCAAACGCGCGCGACATGTTGCGCCCAACAATGTTGCGATATGTTGGGTTGAAATGTTGCGATCGTTTGGCCGGGGCTTAACTATAGACGGATTGGTTTGGTTCCCGCGTTGCAACGATGAGAAATCCACACACCGTCTCTTAATATCCTCAATGGAGGATCACTGTCAGCTCACCTCACCTATCCTTCATGAATAGATGTCACATAAGGTCTTTACAGAGCGCTTACATTCTTTTCTATCTGCTGCAGCTCTTCGTACTTCCTTCCAGGATTTCCAGCCAGCCTCGTTCCCTTCTTTCTCTACCGTACGTCTCCAGGTGGTTGGAGGGTCACTTTATGTCATGTTAAATATTCTACTCTGTTAGGTACTATCTATCTACTAGGTCTTGACTTACTGTCCTTTTTAGAAGCTGAAGTACTCTATATGTGAATTTCCTCATATGTCTTCTGTAAGATTTTCATTTTCCGCTTTTTTAACAGCTCGTAGCTGTTTTCTACCTCTGGGAATGGGGAGTGGCCATATTTCCGACAGCGCAATATCAGCATCGACATATTATGACGCCAAGCGCATTCCATAGTTTTCCCGCCTTAACAAGATCCCAGCTTCGGGGAAGGCCGGGGCCTGGTGCACGCGCACTAACAATGGTAACGAATGGCTGCAGGTTTACTTAGGGCGGGAAACCACAGTCACCAAAGTGGCGACACAGGGGAGATATGATAGTGAAGACCGGGTAAGGAGCTACAGTTTGTCCTACAGTGTGGATGGCTCGCATTGGGCCTGGTACAGACTCATTGAGGGACATATTAAGGTATGAAATACAATCTTTGTTCAGATGTCTTTTAGATTTCTGGTTAAGGGAGCATGATTATAGAGCTCTAGATAAGTCTAAAGATCATTGCCTTTTGATTTTACCTGTGTCTTTTCTGTCAGTCAGTTTTTGGGGCTCGATAACGAGCCGTGAATGGGAAAAAGCTCGGTTTACCAATTCCTATTTCGAACAGCAAAATAGATCCGTTTAACATGATACGATCCTATGAATCAGCGTAATCAAAAAAGTTTTGTTGTCAGTGTCTTCGCTGTTACCTAAAAAATGTGACAAGAGAAAGGGGCTAAAACTGTCTCATCTTAAGGTAATGTTCCTTTGGTACAAAATTGACTCGAGCCTTATGAATTTCCCAGGTTTTTGGAGGTAACATCGACCGTAACACTCCAGTTTATCATTCTCTGCATTCGCCAGTTCAAGCCAAGTATCTTCGTTTCCACCCCAAGACTTGGTCAAGTCACATTTGCACGAGAGTAGAAGTTTATGGCTGCCAGGAAGGTAAGTATAGCTTTGTTATATATGGCCGATGTTTAGTGAAATCTTACGCGCGCTCTTATGGTTGATATATGGCCAGGTGACAATCGGTGGGTGACAATCGAGACACGTTCTCTTCCAACTAACCAGAGCTTACTTTCTCTTGCCATTTATTTTTATGTTTATTAGCACAAAAACTCCAACACTACAGAGGTGACCAAACAGAAAACTTCTGAACGCAAAATAAAAACGTTGAGACCGTCGCTGTGTTGACAATTTTAAATGAATAGAGATTCATTCAAAATAGGCCATTTCCGATATATTAACACTCTAAGGTTTAGCTACGAGGCTTGAGGAACAAAACGTGGGGTATTGGATTCTATTCGATGGCATTATGATACGGAGCGCCAAATGGTTGATCATTGACTGTCTTGGGGATATGTGTTGTGGAAGACATTTATCTGACACATCATTTTCAGTTCGCCTTCATTTGTATTTTTCAGTCTTCAATAAAGTATTTGAACTGCTATTTATGTGTCTGTAGTTAATTAACCTGGGTAGGATTGTATAGATTATTCATCCCCTCAACCTCGATGCGGTTTCTTTTGTATTATTCCCCCAAGCCTCCTCATCACGTTTTTGATATATCGCATAGGCGGATTTAGGGGAGGGGCCGAGGGGGCCGCGGCCCCCCCCCTTTCTTTTCTTGTTTTTTCAAAACGTTTTTGTACGATCCCAAGCCTTCTAACGTTCTTTGAGTGTTGTTATAATTATACAATCAGGTTCCAATTGTATTCAATTTCGGAGCTTTCCTTAGTTAAAATATATTTTGTGTTAACAATTACAATATATTATCAAATATTCAAACTAACTTAACCCAAAAATTAAAATTCGCGCTCATTGTTAACGCCAGATGTAACATGCGTTTCTTTCGGTTTGAAATGACGAGGAACACTGGACACGAATATTGTCACGCCGTGTCCCTTGCTGCACTGCTGAAGAGTGAAATAT